TTTTCTATATAAAAACCTTAAAGCTGGGGTCTTGTAGGAACAGCTTTCATTGGCACAGACACCAGGACACTGTAAAAACCCAGGCTATGGGCAGGAGTGGCAGGCCACACTCTTAATCCCCGCTACTCAGGAGGCTGAGGAGGATGGAAAGTTTGAGGCTAGCCTGCTGTCTTGGTGTGGGAGATATTTTTGCAGGAGAGAAGAATATAATACAGGACACATATTTTATAATATTATTTATAATAGTCACCCAAAGAATGATATACAAGAGAGTACAGGAAATTTATCCACATGCTAAGACCAGGAAATCTAGCCAAAGGCCTGGATCCCACAGCAATGTCCTGCATGAGTCCCGCTGAAGACCTAGAGGCCATTGCAACACCTCCCAAGAGTCCAACTGGAGGCCTAGAACCCATAACAATATCTCATGCAGGCCTGTTTCATGTATCTGAGCTGCAAAGGCCCATAGGTCAGTGGCAGAATCTAGAAAGTCTGTGCCAGCGGGATGAAGGGTCTGTGCCAGCAGGCTGAGGGATCTGCACTGGAGCCAGGAAGCAACGCTCAGAAGAACCAGAGCTCCCCTGAAAGGTCCCACAGCCATCCTCAGCAACAGTGAGGTCCCCAGCTCCTCCGATGGTGAAGATAGCTAGGTTCCCATCAGGAAAGCCAACTCAACGAGCTTCTCCAGGAGACTGAGCTATGCACCTTCTTCCCCTCCGGAGCCAGGAAGCAATGCTCAAAGTGTGGACCAGAGCTCCCCCAAAGTGAACCAAAGCCATTCTTAGTACCAGTAAGGCCCTGAGCTCCTTGGAAGATGAGAACAGCCAAGTTCATCAGGAAAGCCAACATGACAAGCTCCTCCAAAACAACCAACAGCTCCTTACAGCTTCCACCAGCTCCCAACAGCCTTTCTCCACTCCAAGTAGCCTCCTTCTTCTCCAAATCCACCTCTTATGCTATTGGCAACAGTCCCCAGGTGGGCCTCCCACACCCAGCACCACGCTGACTCAGTTCAGCTGGGGGTTATAAGTTGACCACCATGGTCAATCCACCACACCTGGCCAACAAAGATCTTGTCTCAAAAAAAGCTGGGGATATAACTTGGTGGCAGAACACTTGCCTGGCTCCTTTTGTTTCTTGACCTTCTAGCCCTCTGAGAGTGTGTCCTGCCACACAATGAACAGGGCTCTTGTCCTGAGAGAAGGTAACTTTAAGGTGCTGAGCACGTTTATGGAATTTCTCCATGTCCCTCGGTGTGCAGCAGGTTTTGCCAGGCCTATGAGGCTGCAAGCTCAATGCTCTTCGTACTGACCGAATCACTAGGGGTTTGTCTAGTGAGGCATCACAGCCCTTAAGCAGCTCAGGCACACCTGATAGCTCAGGCCCTGGCCACCTGTGGAACTTCAGTGATTTACAGAAATGATTTCTTTTCTCCACCGCTCTTGAGGGCACAATCAGAGTCTGATTTTTTGTTGTGCTTAAGCATCTAATACTGTAGTGTTAATAATTTTTTTTTAAAACCCACACACATAATGTGCAAGGAACTGTGCAAAAACACCGCAAATGATCTCGTTTAATCCTCAAAACAAACCCAGCAGGCTGATCCTACCTTCCCCAAAGGGCAGTGCTCGAGTTCAGTTCAGCGAGAGACTTCCTCCGTTGTCATATGGTGAAGTTAATTTGCTGGCAACTGAATCCGGTGTATCCAGCTCTGAATTCCGTGGACCCTAATCACTGCGCTGTATCGCTACTCTGCTGTTGCATAAAAGTTGCATAAAAATATTGAAGCAATCCCAAAAAACTTTCTAAGCCAGGCGTGGTGGCGCACGCCTATAGTCCCAGCACTCGGGAGGCTAGGCAGGAGAATCCTTGCGAGTTCGAGAGCAGCCTGGACTACAAAGTGAGCTCAAGGCCAGCCTGAACTGCACAGTGAGACCCTTTCTCAAAAAGACAAGAAAAAAAAAGGGGGCTAGGGATTTAGCTCAGCAGCACAGCGCCTGCCTGGCAAGCGGAAGGTCGCAAGTTTGATTCTCAGTACCAGAAAACAAAACAACAACAAAAAAAGACCAAAAAAAAAAAAACTTTCTTTCCTTTCCCCCATGCTCCTGCACCTCTGTCTCTAACAAATAGTCTTCCCACTTCCAGGGGTTCACATGGACCGCCTGTCCATAATGAGGTGGTGGGCTCACAGCTCAGTGGAAGGTACCCAGGCCACACAGTAAAAGGACTCTCCCTTGAGCCCTGATTCAATCTGTGAAACTGGAATACTACTACTGTCTCACAGAAATGTCCTGTTACATGCTTTACCTGTGTAAAGTACAGAGCCTATGGCAGGTAGGGTTTGGTTTTGTTTTTTGGCAGTACTGGGGATTGAACTCATGACCTTGCTCTTGCCAGGCAGGCGCTTATGCTATTGAGCTATGTCCCCAGCTGGCAGGTAGTTATTTTAAGAGAGTGAACTAGGGCAGATAGAATTGTGCTGAAAAAACGTAGTTCCCCTCCCTAACCCCACATCACAGCCCTGTCTCCATATCACTCATGATCAAGGGGTGTGTGGAGAAAAGATAGTCAAAGGTTACTTTGAGAAACCTCTTGTATTCCAAAAACATGGAAGCAGCCTGGTGCCACCTGGGCAAGTTAGTGACTTACTGGGACCCTATGTCAAAATACAAAAATAAAAAATGGGCTGAACCAAGCGTGGTAGTGCACACCTATAATCCCAACACTCGGGAGGCTGAGGCAGGAGGCCTGCTGCTGAGTTCCAGGCCAGCTGACCTTGAACTATGTAGCAAGACCCTGTCTCAAATAAAAAAAAAAGAGCTGAGAGCCAGGCATGGTAGCATATGCCTATTCTTCTGGCACTCTGGAAGGCTGAGGCAGGAGGATAGAAAGCTTGAGCCCAACCTGGGCAATTTAGTGATTCAGCAAGCCCTTTTTCAAAATAAAAGGCTGGGAATGTGGCTGAGTGTGAAAGTCCTGAGTTTGATCCCCATTATCCTCCCCCCCAAAAAAGTTAAAATATTGATAGT